AAGTGCGAATTGTCATTGTGAGTTGAGGAAATTTATATACGCAACATTTAAGCATTTTATAGATTCTTACACAAGCAGTCAGCATGATAACGATAAATGTTTAAAGGTTTTACTACACCACTACACAAAATAGATACATAAATGTATAACAAGTAAATATATATTGATACGAGACCGATAAGATCTTACCAAGAGAGCTCAGCAAGCATCAGAGTCAAGTTAAATGCTAAGCGAACCCAACAAATGCCTAATGATCAAACAATCAATGTGTAAATCCCCTCCCAAAAAGCACCCCAGCCAGTCATAAAACCCCAAAATCCCATTCCCATCCCCTCCATTTCCCCAAATCCCCTAAAACGTGAACAAAGAGAAAGATATTTTCAATGAAACCCCCAAAGGGATTCAAATACAGCCGAAACTCTCCAGCTCGAAACTCCAGATGCCATTATAATAGCCATAATCATTGGAATTGAACAGCAAAGCTCTTATTTTCACTTGATTGAACAAATTATAATTTAAAAATGATTAGGTGCTACAAAAATATTTACACTTAACTAGTTTATATTTCAAAACATTTGAAGTAGTGTCTTAATTTATCGAAATGTTTTTTAATTTAAATTTCCGATGTGGAAAAAATGTCAAGGCAATAAATTCTTTTCGTATGTCAACGGCGATACGTAATGAATTTCCATTAAAAACCAAATTAGTGGAAACATTTTTATAGCTAAGCATTTCACAACCAAAAGAAATTAGTTTAAATACATACATATTTCAAATTACAATACAACAAAAATAAGAGCTTGACTGATAGAAAACTTAAAAAGTCCAAAGTTAAGTATGGTTGGATTATTGGACAATTTGAGTTGGGCTAAAAGGAGTTTAGTGACTGTATCTTCAATGGAACCCCCCCCAAAAAATGATGGATCCCAGAAGGAGGCCAGTGGAGAGAGCGGTTTGGATCAGTTTAGTTCAGAGGTAAGTGGGCAAAACACGAACATGACTCACTGGCAGTATAAACTAGTATTATCTAGGTGGATTTCTCTAGAGGTTGCTCGAAGAAAAAACCGACACCAAACTGCGAGTGGTGAACGTGCTTCGAATCACCTCATCTCGCACCTCCCGCTCTACACAGAAACAAATTTGCTGTCACTATCATATTTTTCTATACCACACCATACCATGTGTTAAAAAAATATATTCCCTATTTGCGTATTTTAAGGATCTTATATTGATAAATACCAAAAATTTATTTAGCTTTTCAGTGTTTCATCCTGCCAATTGTTTAATTTTTTTCACTGCATTTGATGTTGCTGTTTTTTACATCGCCGCTTTGGGATTTCTTTATAAACGATGTCGCAAAAGAAAACTGGATATACAGACAACACACAAAGTTGGCAATGGGCTTCGGTTTTGAATTCGGTGTCGTTGTTTACCGCTTCGCTACGTTTCAAGTACATACATATGTACGTACTTAATTATATATGTATGTATGTACATATGCACCTTCGTGTCTCCCAATCGAACTGAAAAACGACAAAAGAATGCAAGAAAATAAATGTATGGGTTGTCCATATTTGAGCATTGAAAGCGTTTTGCCCCCGTTGTTTTCATGATTTGTGCTGAGACCCGCACTCTTTAATTTTCCATTACTTTTTTTTTACGGTTTCAGGCCACCCCCGAGAGATATGTATGTATGCATTATATACGATCATATACATATGTACATATGTATACCCATTTATGTATGTATGTCTGTATGTCTTTCCTCGAAACTTAAAGCAAATCAAAAGCGTAAACAATTTTGTTTTTATTTCGCTTTCTGCTGCTACTCTTTTATTTTTATGGCGCTCTGCTTAAGCTAATTGCAAACGATAAACGGCGACGACGATAGTGGAAGTTGTGATGTTGGGGAGGGGAGCCAAGCGGTAAAGGGGGACAATCTTACCTCTCGCTCTCACGTCCGCTTGGATTTGCGATTGCGAGAGTTTCCATTGTTGTTCGAAAAGCAAAAATATAAATAAAAACAAAAACTAAGAGCCAAAGAATAAACCTCTATAAATCATTTAAAACGTGACATTATGAAAATGTCTTTACCCTTTGATTGGCATTTAAACGTAGTTTACTCAAGAGGGAATTTTATTTTTAATTACAATTTGCAGGTTATCTCCTCCTCTTACTTCACATATTTTTAAGTCAATCAATTCTTATTGGCATTAAGTATAACATATTCTACATTAATATGGAAGATTTTTACATATAGTGCTATTGAATTTAAACCAGGACTATTTTAAAAATCAAATGAGTTTCTTGTAGGACTTTGAGCTACTTTCCTTCGTTCTCTAAAAATATCTACAAACTCAATTTGCAATGCGTACTACTGACCAATTTCCTGGGGTGTGGAATAATTACATAAGTAAATATATATATGTAGGTTCAAAGAGTTTTTTGTCACAACGCGAACTATTTTTTATCCTTTTGAAATTTTGTAAGATTCAAAAGTTACTCAAACTTATCACCTCGGAATTCTTTTTAAACTAGATCAAATTAAAACACCTTAAATTGGTTATAAATCAGCATGTACATTTTTTATTGGTTAATGTTCTGTCCTGGACAGAATGCTGGTTTTTTTAAAAAATAATTTCTGAAATAAAACGGTATCGAATTGGATCAGCTTTTATCATAGCCTCTCTTCGCAAACGGGTTTTGCGGGGTATCAAAACGAGACGGGGCAAATCAAAAACAAAAAGTTGCGTGCACTGGTCTCGAACTGGGCCTGTAGATGTATGTATCTACGCAATTGGTATCTGTAAGATACACACACATCCGAAGCCGAAAACTCACGTTGCCGCCACACGCGCTGTTCGCAGAGCGGGATGAGATGGGATACTTATAGATGGAGCAGATAGGAGATGGGTGACGGAGGGCATTCGTATTTACAAGTTTTGTGCGTTGGTCTCTGACGACCCCCTGGCCACCCACCTCCCCAACACCCCATCCCCTTGTATTTCTGTACACCCATATGTGAATAATATGCGTGCAAAGTACGCAAATGCTGAAGAAAAATACAAAAAAAAATCATAATACAAAAATAAATTGAATACACAAAACAAAAATATTTACTTCTACACGTAAATACGCAGGGTACAAGAGAAGATTTTAAATGTATAAAGTTGTTTAGGAAACATAGAAATATTTTTTTGGGCATATCGAACTTAAGCTTGACGTTTGTTTTTGCTTAAACTATAATTTTAAAATGTTTTTTCTTGTGTAATATATATATATGGGCAGTCATGTGAGTGTGTGTCAACGGTTATTTTATTTTCTTCATCTTTTTTTGTTTTTGTTATTTTCAGGCAATGGAATAATTTTATTTTGCTGCGCAATTTCTACTATTGATTCCCCGCATATGTACTCGCATTTATTTTATGCTTTTCTTTAGCTGCCCCTATCGCCATGGCTTCCATGAACTGCCCTGTTTTGCTTTGATACCATTTTCTAAATTAAGGCATACTTTCGCACAAACAAACATCCGACTATACTATACTGCATGCTATATGTATATTCAGACCCAGATAGGATTCGCACCTTATCGCTGTGGTGGCCTGTGTACAATATAATTATTATTGCACGCGTCAACAGAAAATAGTGATATGAATGGTTGTTGTTACCTCAAATTGATAAGCAAAGCAATCGAGCAGATGTTAACCCTTGAGAGAGTCGGAAATTTCGTCGAGACTCGTAACGGAAATGGCTTTGTGAAATGAGTCCCCAAAAAAAAGGTGGATGATTCACGGACTCGAAATAACCATGCGGGTTATGTCGTTAGCCATGCCACATTCAAACTTTTATATCACATTTATTCACTTTACAGTGGCATTCATACGGCCTTTCCACGTGGGAACTGATTCGGTACTGGGACAATCTACACTGTGAATTTTCAATGTCCACTTATTGGCATTTCTTAGCTAATTATTATTGATAATAATATACAAAATCAAAATTGAAATTTCAAATACATACATAAGTACCTATATATTCCACGTGGGAATTAATTTCAGATTGTGTCTATCCCTTATCGCAAGTTAATTTTATTAGTAGTCTTTGAAAGTAGTACTATCATTATTGGCTTTATTAATTTTACCCTTCCACGCGGGTATAAGTTTTTGTTTTTGATAGACATTTTTTGTACACGTGTGATCATATATTCCAATAAGTTGTTTAGCTTAGAACAATTAAGTTTAAATTTAGTTGGACCTAAATATAAATGAGATTTGTAGACTATTTTTAAGTTTTTTGAATCCAAAAATTGAAATAAATTATACATGGCAAAAGCAATAAGACAGATCTTAAAATTTGAACTATCTTGGTTTTTATGAACAAATGCTTAAAACCTCTAAAAATCTGTTTGAGATTCAAATTAATTGAATTAATTTAGTTGGACCTAAATATAAATGAGATTTGTAGACTATTTTTAAGTTTTTTGAATCCAAAAATTGAAATAAATTATACATGGCAAAAGCAATAAGACAGATCTTAAAATTTGAACTATCTTGGTTTTTATGAACAAATGCTTAAAACCTCTAAAAATCTGTTTGAGATTCAAATTAATTGAATTTTACCCTAAGCTAATACAAGTTAGTTTGATGACTCATTATTTAACATATTAAGTTTCTTTCGTATTGCTGTTTTCATAGCTTGGTTCAAAGAACTTAATAGTTGTCAGAAAGGTCATATTAGAAACGAACCGCTCAACAAATTGAAATTATTGCTATGCCAAACACCTTGAAATAATTTTAAGTTGGCAATCGCTCACCTCACTGTATTCACTTTTCATCTCGGCGACCACGTGACTTGGGCTTTGTCTGTCGACGGAAAATTTTCCCCACTCCGAGGGCTCCCCTATTGCTAGAAAATTCATTGAATGGATCTGTTATCGGTCAAGGGGGAGCAAAGAGATAACCCCGCGGCTAGACAAGCCCCGAGATGTCAAGCTTGGATCGGATTGTGGAGTGGTGTGATGCGAGATCTCGGCTTGGAATCAGTCAAACAAATCCCAGTTCGCCGGCAAGATGTGGTTCTCTTCGACTATTTTCATTGTCCTAGGAGCAATAACTTTGGTCCAGGCAAGTAATTAGTGATGAAATTCTTTCAGAGGTATCCTAACCCATCTCTGATCCTTGCAGGCTAACATGCAGTTTCACTTCTCACTGGATTTCCATGTGAAGCAGCCACCCAACTCGACCGACACCATCGACAAGACCATTTTTGTGGAGAACAATCAAATATCGATGGTGGACAACGAAGAAACGACAACCAGGGCTCCGATGGGCCAGTGGACGGATCAGGATCAGTATAATCAGGCCACCCTGCAGAAGGTGATGGATACACGGATATCGGTGCAGCAGCTGAACACGGAGCTATCACCCTTGGCGGGCAGGAGTACCGATCTGGCCAGGAGAATCAAACAGAGTCTGCGTTATGTCAACGATGTGGATGCCGCCCTGGATGATCTGACCAACTTTGGGCAGCTGGTGGAGCTGCTCAGGAAGTTCGTCACCCTGGTGGATGGCCTAAGAGATCCCAACAATCTGGGAGGAATCCGCAGCCTGGAGTACGTACTCCTGAAGCTAGCCCTGGAGAAATACGATCTTCTTAAGAAGCGACAGGAGGTCGGAGAATATTTGGATCGGGCGGAGAGTGCCTGGCGGAGGTACCAAAACACTCAGGTGGTTCTGCTCGATAACTCCACCTGATCCCAGCCCATTTGCTTAGGGGTCTTAGTCTTACAGACCTTGCTAGGAATATATGTACATAGTTTTAGGATAGGGCAGGACAAAGACCAGCATCATCGGACGAGACAATCGCTGCACCATGATCTAGGATGGCACGGCCCTTCAAAAGGAATGAAAGCCATTGAAGGGACTTCCTGTCTATTATTCGGGTTCACTGCAATGCCCAGAATTGCTACAGGTACGCCAGGGGAGATGGATCTAGGGGTAGCAGATCTAAATCTCCTTCGGTGCCCGGTTTCGTTAAGGCTGGAAAATACGTTACACACGCTGGGAATGCCTAAATACACTGAGGAAAAAATTAGGGGTGCAAATCATTACCATTCGTAAATAAAAAGTATTTTATTAAATCCAATTGATTCTTAGGGGAAAACCATTATAATTTGTATATCTATTAAACTGAACTCAAGTCCATCTAAATTTTTAAGTTTCTTATCAGTAGATCTGTTATATTTTTATCAAAATGTTTATTGATTGCCCACAAAAACAAATGAAAACAATCAAATAAGTTATCAACCATAAGAGCAATAAATATTCCTTGATAATAATATGTAAAGAAAAACGTTGAAATCTATTCGAGCTTCTTGTAGAATGTTCGCCAGCAAACTATATTATCACTTGAGGACTGTTGATAAAGTAATCCATCTAAGTCTTGTTTTTCCAAGTGCAGTTCCCCGTTCCACCATTCAGCCGAAGCAGGTAGTCGGATCCGAGGATCTAAGGGAGCATTTAATAGCGAACAACAGCTGCCAGAGCCGTTGCTAATGGGTGAAGTGGAGGGTAGAGTCCCGATCGCAGACCAAAATTTCCGAAACCCGAAACAACCACTGCCATCAACAACCATATGCAGTTAAGTGGAAGGTGGATGGGGGACTTTGAGGGAAATAAAATCATCAAGAGTATGTGAAACATTTGTCGTGTGGAGTATGGGGGCGGTTTTTCTGGGTAACGACTCCATACCCCCCATAGGAGGTTCCCCGGGAACTTCCATCAGAGTGGAACGCTTGGAATACGACACCGAGTCCAAATCTCAAAGTTACCCTTACGGCTTCCTTAACGGTTTTCACCGATTTCTTTTATTTTTAGGGGTGTCGTCTGAAGTATCGACTCATACAATACACGCGTACCATCCATAAATGGAAAAAAATTTGCTTTTGTGTTAAGCAAAAAGCATGAAGAAATCTGTATACATAATGGAAACTCGATTGGCATAAGAGGGACAAGCTATATGAATACAGGTTTAACCGAACAACCGAAACTGGTCGAACCGCTTTGAACCACAGGCTATCCGATGGCTTATGTATCTTTTTGACAGCTTATGTTTATACTAAAAATATCGCTGCAGGCCTAAAAATATGTATTGAAAAGAGATCCGGGCCAAGGAAGGGATTATTCTGGGGAAGGGAAATGTAAAGTAGCAGAACAAAGGAATTAACAATTAACACAAATAATAACCTTTTTGTATACCCACAATTTATTAAAAAGTACTTTTAAGAACGTACATACTCGTATATGTTTTTCATTATTTTATAATTTTATTTTATTTAAGTTGCAGTCAGCGTAAAAATCGAGACAAATTTTATTTTCAGTAAATGCTTCCTTATAGGGTTTTCGGCATTGTTTTTAATATAATAATAAGTCACCAAAAATGTATTTGTATTAAATACTTATAATTATATTAAGATAAAATACCAATAACTCGCATTGTTGAGTTAATCAAAAACAAATAAACAAATCATTTGCTGTAGTCGTCACAATTGAATTTCAGAACAATCAAAAATCGAATGCATTCGTCACATAAAATAGTTCCAGCTTGTATGTGAATTTTCAAATAACGATTACATTTTCCCGCCTAGTGCACAATTCGATTAACGATAACGATTATTCACTGGCCATGTTAACTGTTTGTATCGGCTGTTAAAATGCAAAGCCCAAAACATGATTTAATATTTATAGTTATTATTCAGTTTGGCTTAAAATTACGTAGTATTTTTAAGACTTCGATCTGAAAGTCGAGCTTGCGGTCAGCGCACATTCGTTGCATATGCGGCCTTATGGTGTCGAAGAATGCCTGGTCGGGATCAGCGGGTGCTGATGTGGGGGCGGTATTTGTACTACACGGCGGTGGATCTGCAGGAAAGTGTGGGGTGGGTGTGATCTCCAGAGGCACTGTATCCTCCCTTGCGTAGCTCACATCCTCCAGAGCCGAGTGGAAGTTATCCGGAATGGCTGGGTTATTGGTGGCGCACTCTAGACTTGATTCCTGGTCGGAGTTCCTCCTTCGTTTTGGAGTTTTCACAGATCTGTGGGCGGCGGGCAGACGTTTCCGTTTGACCTGGAACTTAGGCTCCTCCTTCAGGGGCTCTTCGTCGTCCTCCGTTTCTGCTTTCACATCCAGCAGGAAACTCAGCTCCTTTTCGTAGATGTATGAAGCTCTGGCCACCTCCTCGCCACTTTGTCGCAGCCGGTTCACCCGCAAATAGCTGTCCCTCGTGTTTTTCCATCGTTTGAGCAGGGTTTTCACTGGATTTAAATGGAGTATATTATACGGTATTCGAGAGTTATAATAACAGGGCCAGAACCCACCGATTTCCTGCTTCTCCGGGTCACTGGAGCCCTGGAAATTTGCGCATAGCTCCTGGCCGATTTGCTGCCAGGCCTGATCCCTCAGCTCCCGGTTGTGGAAGTTCGGATGACTTCTTTCCCATATAATTGAGCGCTTGTGCACCGCCTCAATAAACTCATACATCGAATAACGCAAATTTCTACCCGCCGATCGCAAAACCTTATGGTTCCCCATTATTTATTGTTTGTTTACGGGACGGATCAACAATTAAAGCATTTTTCGCGCTTAACAGCACCGCAATCACTTAACAGCACTTAATAAGGAGTTGCCACCTTGCCCGGAATTTTATTTTTAAACGTTGTTTTATGTTATGAAAATATGTTTTCAATTTTGTTTTTATTTTTTAAACATATACAGATAGGTCAGTGGATTATTGTTGTTCTAGCTTTGAAGCGTGCAAAATGCGTAGGTATGACCGAGTAATACGTGTACGTGTTAAATTAAGAGAAAAATGCAAGTGAGTGTTGATGATTAGGGGCGTGTAGAGTTCTCTGGATTCTGAATGATTCTGTTTACATGGGCCTGCCCATGCCGCGACCCATGCCCATACCGCCCCCCGCCATCGGTGCTTCGCCGGCCTTTGGGCTCTTTATTGTCTCGTCCACGGAAAGGATCATGCAGGCTGCCTCGGCGGCCGCCGTGAGCGCGTTGATTTTGATGATCGACGGCTCCCACACGCACTGCTCATAGTTGTCCGAGATGTCCTCCTTGGTGATGTCGACGCCGAACCACTGTCCTCCTGCATAAAGGTAAGTGAGACAAATATATAAATCAGCAATAAATAAGTTTTAAATATACATTGATATAATATTATTCAATTTTAAAAATATTATTTATAGACCAATCGAAAAATCAGTAAGGGCGCGTAGATTAACATTTCAAATTTTAGAGAGTTAACATTTCAACCAGGTGGCAACGCCGCAGCAGCCCGCGCAACAAACGAATTGATGAGGTGCGAAAGAGCACACACTACAGCACATGTGACTAGAGCGAGAGAGGGCGAGAAACAGAGAGGTCGAAAAAAACACGCGTTGCTGTGGCAGAAATTTCCACTGTTTACAAAGTTTCGAAAAGAAAAGCAAAGCCAGGCGAAATGTCCAGCTCCGGGAGGAAGCGCAAGCAGCAGCTGAAGCCGCGCCAGGATGAGCACCGGTCGCCGGTGAAGCGGCGCAGTGTGGACATCAAAACTGAACCTTTGGACGGCTATCCGGCGTTGGCGGACTACGACCTAAGTACGGCGGACATAAAGCCGGATCTCACTGAGCTGCAACTACAGCAGGCAGTGGAGCAGCAGGTGGCCCCCAGTGTCAGTCGCTCGGAATTGGATCACCAAGAGAGCGATTCCGACGAGGATGGTTATTCGGAGCTTAACTACCAGGCGGCTGATGTCTTCTGCCAGGGTAAGTGTGGCTGCCCCGCCCTCCCCTGCTTACATAACGCCCTCCACCCACTTCTTACAACCAGATGAACCGGATTACTACGACCCGGACTGGAGCAGTCAGCAGGCGGGCTCCAGACTGCTCTTTCAATTTCCCACTCCCAGCCATCAAACTGGCCTGAAATTCGCCAAACGCTTCCAGGGCCCGATACACTACTTTAACCATATGCTGGGCGATCGCTCCAGGTTCTTCAATCTCTTGGCCGCAAACTGCAACCAGGGGAGGGGGGAGATGGATCACCCGGTTCCCTGCACGCCACTGCCGAGGAAATGGAAACCTTTGTGGCCCTTTCCCTGCTCATGAGTGACCTGAAGCTGGAACGCCTCTCGGACTACTGGAGCACCAACATGTTCTACGGCTTCGTCGGGTTCACCGGAAAGATGCCCCTGGAGCGCTATCAGCAGCTGCTGCATAATCTCAACTTTGATCCAGAGCACCCGGTAAAGAACAAGAACAAGCCGAAGGACTTTCCACTCCTCACCTTCATTAACGAGCGCATGGCAGAGCTGTACGTTTGTGGCCAGCAGTTGGTGCTCAATGAACCCATCACTTTGTGGAAGGGAAGATTCAGCTACCACGAGGATCTGCCCAGCAAATTCCGCACCAATTCTCTACTGCTGCACATGCTAACCGAGCAGAGTGGTCTAGTGGTGAAGCTCCTGCCGGAGATTGTGCATCAGGAGGATGCACAGGCTTGGGTGCGCAATTCCCGGCAGTTGGTGGAGCATCGAACCGAGTTGGCTCTGAAGCTTATGCAGGACCACCATGGAGGACGCACCGTGTACGTCTCAAAGTTCTATGGCAGCTATGGCCTGGCCCATGAGCTGGCCAAGAGGAGCACCTACTGCACTGGGCTGCTGGACAGGAATAGATATGGCAACAGCAAGGCCTTGGTGCATCAGCGTTTAGATTCGAACAGTATCTCCACCAGCTATGCCAAATCCCTGATGATGGCCAAGTGGCGACGACGGGCGAAGAGTTTCTACTTCTTCAGCTCCGACTGTTTGGCCATTTATGCCAAGGAGTTATCGATGCAAAAGACGAACGCCAGGCCCAAGTTGATTCAGGAGTTGGACTGGCAACTGCGCCCCGGCAACGAGAGTCGCCAGCACCTGATCCACTATCAACCGGCATGCCAGGAGATTCCGGCCGCCAAGAAAGTGGGCATATTTCTACTCAATATACTTGTCTACAATGCCTATTTGCTGTACCTGGCCAATAGCCAGAATCCGCGAGGTGGACACCTTAAAAGTTATTCGGAGTATCGAGTGGTCATAATCAAGTCGCTGCTCAAAGAGGAAGTGATCAGCGAACCTATGACAGTCAGTCCCCACAAGGCAGACGTACAAGAAAAGCTGAAGGACAAGGCGCTGGTCGAGGCCAAGCTGAAGGCCGTGAGGCACGAACCCGTGCTCATCCAGCAGAACGGAAAGCCGGCTCGAAAGAACTGCCGTCACTGTCACAAAGGCGGAATGCTGCAGTTCAGCAAGTTCATGTGCAACTCCTGTCCGGACAAGCCGGGTCTGTGCCAGGAACCCTGCTTCCGACTCTGGCATGAGCAGCTCAAGAAGTAGCCAGAAAAACAATATTGTGTACCAAGCGAAATAAAATGGATTGTAAAAAGTGCTTATGGTGCGGTTTTCCTATAGGTAATATTTGATGAACGAAAATGCAAACTAAAGCTGTTTGAAGATACACATTTGTAGTAGTTATTTGAAACACTGTGCTTACCCATTAGAGTAAAGTATCAAATAATGACAAAAATATTGCGTTTCTTGCTAATATGTAAATTCCGATAAGAATTTGTTAAACCCCAAAAGTAATAAATATTATGGCGATCAACGATTTTGGAGTACTCACCCTGGGCGTGTTTCTGGCGCAACTTGTTGAGAATGTTGGTGGCATCGAAGCCGGCATTGTCGCACAGCTGGCGCGGAATGATCTCCAGGCCCTTGGCAATGGCGGCGATCAGCAGCTGCTCCTTGCCGGCAATGGTGCGGGAGTAGTCACGCAGCAGCTTGGACAGCTCCATCTCGATGGCACCGCCTCCAGCCACCACGGAGTCGTGCTTGATCGTGCGGCGCACGATCATGATGGCGTCATGGAGTGAGCGCTCGGTTTCCTCCAGGAACTGCTCGGCACCTCCACGCAGGATCAGAGTGCTCGTCTTGGCATTGGGACAGCCTGTTGAGGAATATCAATATGAAATAAGTCTTTGACCTCAATATGTACTAAGAATATTATAAATTTTAAACAAAAGGACGGCAAAGCTAAAACCATTTTGGGCTTGAAAATGGGCCTAAGATCTCCTGGTTTGGTTATATCTTTGTTAATTATCACATTTACATAAACTTAAATAGCCTTGTATTTTATATAGTTTGTTAGCTTCTTACCTTGGAAGAGATTGAAACGTTCGCCGCCCACCTGGCGCTCCTCGAAGTGCTCGCACAGGCCCAGGACGCTGGGCTTGATGTCGTTGGCCGTCGTCATGACGGCTCCACCACAGGCCTTCATGGTGCGCTTGAGATCCTCCTCGGGAACGCGGCCGGCGCAGAAAATGTCGCGGTCGGCGAAATACTGTGTGGCCACATCGCCGATGGGCAGCTTGGAGAGCACCACATTGGCGCCGGACTCGTGGATCTTTGCCAGCTTGTTGTAGAGGATCTGCCACTCGGCGTCCACCACCTTCTGGTACTCCTTGACATTGTCCACACGGATCTCGGCATTGTCGCGCTCGGCCTTCAGCTCCAGCTCGATGTTGAGCAGGGCAATCTTGCACTTGTCGTAGGATTTGGGTGCCATTTCGAAGCCGGCGTACGAGAAGGTCTTCTTAAAGGCCACGCCCGACACCAGCTGCGACTCCTCCAGCGAACCGCCGGTCACCTTCTTGATGCCAATCATGTTCAAGGGCAGCAGCTCATCCAGCGAGAGCACGGCCTCCACCACGATGCGGGAGAAGAAGTCCTTCTGTTGGTGAATCAGCTTGGAAGACATGGCCGTGGCCGCGCACTTCTCGAGCAGAGCGCGCTGGTCCTCCTTGGACTGTTCGACAATCTGGACGGCCATCTCGTTGATTTTTTCCATGCACAGCTGCAGCGACTTGCGGATGGCCTTGATGATGATGCGCGGATGGACGCCCTCCTCCACAAAGGGTTTCACCTGCTTGAGGAACTCGCCGGCCAGCAGAACCACGGATGTGGTGCCATCGCCCACCTGGAGTAACCAAAATCAGAGCTTTAGCTGAGTCACGTGCTCCGGCGGGGGCAAGCACTTACCTCGGCGTCTTGTGACTTGGCAATGTCCACCAGGGTCTTGGCCGCCGGGTGGATGATCTCCAGCAGCTTCATAATGGTGGCCCCATCGTTGGAGATCGTCGCCTTGCCGTGGGCATCCACAATCAGCTTGTCCATGCCGCGGGGTCCCAGGGTGGTGCGCACCGCATCGACGATCGACTGGCAGGCATTGATGTTGGACACCAGTTGCGGCTTTCCCTGCGACGTGTCGGTGCCTTCCTTCAGGAGCACGATTTGCGGTTGCTATGGAATCGGACGGATATAGCGGCATATATAGTGAAAAGCCTCCAATTAGTCAGCAGATGTCGTCGGCTTGCGAGAAGCTTCTTTGCAGGTTATGTTTACATTCGCATGCCGCTCGCAAGTGGGTCCTTGATTTGGATTACCATGACCATCCTTGGGTTATTTTCAGCTGGGCTTACCATATTTGTGTGATGGGGCTGGCCGTTTCCACGTAAAACAGTTTAAAACAATGAATTTCCTAGCAGACAGGCGGCAAGTTGCTTTTCGTTCACGTTTTCCGCGGTGAGTAATGGACCTATCGATACATTGATATTAGTTTGCCTTTAATCGATTCTTTCTGCCAGTGTGGACGTTTGTTCCTAGAATTGGCGCACTTTTTAATCGGAATTTGAATACGCATATTTTAGCTTTTTTTTTAAAAGTTACAAAGTATTTAAAAAGTTCACTTACTTGTCTTATTTGTCTACTTAGATCATAATACCTAATTAAAATTTATTCGATCCAGCTATTTTTAAATCCTTATTAATTGTAAATAAAAAAAATGTTTCATTTAAATTATTTTAAATTTTGTACAGATTATACAAATGTAAATAACAATCGTAATCGATCGCTGAAAGTGAAATCTCTCATCGATATCTTCTTGACGTCACTGTTGACCGGTGAGCGGTTTTTTGAAAATGCTCCCAACTTCAAATATAGATTTGTGATTCTTTCTATTTATATAAATTTGGCGATGCACGCACGCATGTCGCTTATTCCATTTTAGAATGTGCGCCGCATCTTCAGTTTGCTCCTACCGCTCAACTTGAGTGAGTTGTGCACCGAGCAATAAGTATAATTAAATGGAAAATAAAAAAAGAGTCGTTTAAAGGCCAAAACGCTAGAACGTTCAACCGAAATTAGGTTCAAATGGAGGCAGACGGCAGTCTAAATCTAATTCGGTCATGTGGAATTGGAATTTTAGTTGCTCAAGACTACTTCTAACGACGACAACGGACCACAAGAGATGTCAATGGATACTAGCCCAGAAATTGCCAAGTGATTACGAAACGTGCCAGGATTCTGATTCTCGGAAAACCGGCTATGAAAACTGCAGACACTGAGTAAGTAATGTGGGTGGAAGCTACCAGATGATAAGGCATTCACATTCACAGTGCAAAGTTTATTTTCCCCTTTTGTGCTTTTATTTAGATTTCCACTCTGTTGACAGACTGGAATCCGAATGTGTTCTAATTGTGTCCATCATTCATTGTGTCGTTAAGGCGACTGTCAAATTTGTGTGTGATTTGTGAAGTTTCAGCTGTTGGGGGTCATTCATACATTTATATGTTACAACAGGCGTGGAATTTAACTTGAAATTTAAATAGAATTTCTTCCATATTTTAAGTTGATATTTCATTGCAGTAGGTTAAATTTCTAAAACAAATGTGACATTTTCAACAGCTTATGTGTCACGTTTTTATATTGAAATTAATCTTAGACCAGCACAAATGCTTTGTAACGATACAAAAACAAATAAGCCATTTCATTCATACGGAAGCGTACAAAAACATGCATGTTTAGATAGTTTTTAGTGGGCAGATAAAAAAATTATTTCATTGTTGTCAAAAAGTTCTTTATCTTTTCTATTCTCACAGCCAAAGATTAAGGTTTACATGGACTGCATTAATATTCAATCGATCATCATTTCTGATATCTTTTCTTTCGGTGTGCCATTGTTTTGACCGAACTCGTAGCGGGTTGTGTGCATATTTTGGTTATTAATACGCAAGCGGATGGTTTGTTTTTGTTATGAATTCGGCTTTCAATAAATTGCCTCTTCCGGCTCTACGTCCGCCATTCTTTGGGGCACGCACATATAGTATTGTGGGCCTGAGCTTTACCACCCCGTAACCCCAAGAACTGCATCAATAAATGGCAAAGCTCTCCTTAATTAAATGGAAATGGAGGCAAATGTGAAAGAGCTTGCGAAAGCTCGAGAGGCCGAGTTAGTCAATCGGTGTCCGGCCGAAACGAAAGATCTCTGCTATCGCCGAGCAAACGAAATTTTAGCTAGTATAGAATACTTCTTTTAATTTACAATTTTCATAGATTGCAACTAATTGAGTTACTCCCCAAACGAAACGAACATAACTCACTTACAATCCGACCAACTTGTGTAACTACTAAGAATCATTGCGTGCTTCCTGTGACGAACTCTGTGAATTATTTAAAAGAAATATAGGAAATTCTGCGAAACAATTGTCGAAGAACTGCTCCAAATACCGACAATATTCTTCTTGGTCTGTGCGCGAAAAAAATTCGATGAAAAATAAACTTACTGACGTCATTACACTGCAAGAAACAGTGGTAGAGAAGCAGTAAATAAACTGTTTACATTACAACATCGTTGGGCGAGTGAGTGAGTGAACTATATACTATATATACAAGTTTGAGGCACGCCAAACTTTGGTCTACGACGCCCAAGGATTTCAGAGCTAATGGTGCGTATACGTGATCTTCAGTGAATCAGCCGAAAAGACTGTACACTCGTCGGCTGTCCGACTCATCGTTTGGCAATATTTTCAAATTGATATATGTCTGAAAATATACATACTTAAAGAGCAAAAAAGAGACTTTCGGCTTTCATCTGCCCATGTGAATGGCATGGTACATGGAAATCGAGTGGGTGGCTTCGCTCGCACAAAAACCAATCCCATCCAAGCCGGTCACACCGAGGCTGTGATGTCACCATGGCGTGTATGTCGTCCCAAAAACACTTTATTAACGAGTTGACTGGGGGCAGCTCTTTTTAATTTAATTAAATTAAATGCAACATGAGAGCCATTATCTTTCCCCGCCTTCAAGCTTAAAAGTAAACTTAATATTGAAAACCTACACCACACAATAAATATCAAATCCATTTGAGCGACCACTGCTGAAATTGTAATACCTATTTAGAAATTTTACCATTGACATAGATAACAGTATTTATATCGTATTGATAATATTTATGATATACTTTTTTCTTTTCTTCTGCTTTACAATCCCACGCAGTTCAAACATTGGTTTTTAAAGTAAAATAATGGTTCTTGTTAAGAGATAAGTTCCTTGATTTATATAGGTAATAAAAAAAGAAATTAGCTTGGCACCACCCACTTAAAATCACTCCCTATAAACACCTAATGGAGTGTGTTAGGGAAACAAATCAAATTCCAATTAAGCGCCAGAAGGTTGCCAAGTACACACATCTGTCGTAATGCATACATATATAGATCGCGGCCTTGATAAAGATGATCGGACAGAAATCTCGGAGAGCAGAGCATTTTATGAACTGAGGGCACCCCATACAATATATATAGATGCTTTGTTATAATCTTTCGGGCGGATGTGGGAGCAATGCAAAGAATTTTGCTCTAGAAAAAGTCTAGTAATAAAAAACGTTTTTATTGCGTGTAAAGAGCCCCCAGAGGGGAACCTGAAAAATAACACATGTACTCTGTTTGTTCTATTCCAAAGGCGCGCCACATGACGTCACTAGGAAACGCCATTCGGGACCAGTTTATTTGGTAAAACCAGCGCAATTCGCACCGAAAACCACTTCCCAGTCCCAGGGTGCATATGTGTTTTCTTTTCATTCATGTGTGGCCCGACCCATTGTTGCGAAATGGCAGAAAAAGCTTTTCCCTGTAAATCAATAATGGGGCATACTTGTTGATTAGTTCAGGCCAGCGAGGAAAAGCGTTGAAAAGTCAACGGCTAAACAGAAGCCATTGAAATGCAGCCAGACAAAGGCGAATCTCCGCTCTTGAGAAGATGTAGCCTCCTTGCGGGCAAAGACTTTGATTTCTGAATACTTTTTCAAGGCACATGTCTTTATAAAGAGTACTGAAAAATCATTATTTGTTTATAAAACAGAATTCATATAAAAAAAAAGTATTTTAACATTTTAACATTCATTGTATTATTTATAGATTTTAAAATGAGTTATAAAATATAAATAAAGCATTCAAAGAAACGATAAATACTGAAATAATGTATTGTATGAAATGTACCTTTAATGGTAACACGAGAAACCTGTTACAATTAACAAGAAAATACAAATAAAAAACGAATTTATATAGCTTAAAATAACCTTTACACAAATAAATACAGTTTTCCTACTCTAATTAAAATTTGTATATGATGGTTGATTTTTAATTTACCGACCAAGTTTAATTTCCTTCGTTTCTATTACAGATTGAGGAGAATCCAACGATGACCAGGTGAAGTATAGCAGGGACTTTCGTAAGGGTCGGAACGCACCGCATATGCAGTACTTGAGAAAGCAGAAACCCAAAAAAAACGACGGCAACATTTTTATATACTGAAGATAAATAAAAATGGCTGAAAACCAAACCAAAACGACCTCTAGCAAGGGATGCAGTCTGAGCAGGACCGCCCATATCCTGGCGCCGCACAATGGGACTGTGTCGCGCAGGACGGATCCTGGCTCCAAACTTAAAGAGAGCTTCCAAACGGAAAAGCACGATATCGAAGACTGGCAAACGATGGCCAAGAACAAATTGAAGCGCAAGAAGAAACTGAGCACCAGCCTCACTTCCGTGGGCGATACGGTGAATCAGGAGAAGCGCACCCGCATCGAGGGCATCCAGCTGCAGTGTCGCGGAAAACTGCGACCCCAGGATACCCAATCCTTCGAGGCCGAAAGGAGCCCATCCACAACTGGATCAACCAAGCAAATAGGAAAGGTTGAAAAAGATCGCGAACGGGAGCGGCCCGTAATAATTGGTGGCGTAACGACCACAAATGTGATAGCAGCACCTCCGCAGAGGATCAAGAGAAAGCTGCAGGAGAATCTGGACACCATCCAGAAGCTAAATGCCCTTACTGAGCAACTTCGTCTGGAGGTTAATGAACTGAAGTCCAGCCTGATCACAGAACGCGGTGCAGTGAGGGCTCTGAGGTAAGTTACGTAATTCATACTAACAAGTTAAAATAAAATTTAAGTTAAACATGATAATCTAGACAAAGTTAAAATTGTTATTGCTCTTCTTATTGACAATAAAAATACTTTAAGGAATCAGAAATAAATAGATGTTTGTTCTCAATTCTGTTTCATAACAACTTAAACTTTGAAAATCTTTTAAATTAAATACATTAATGCACTGCGACATTAACTGACCTTTGATTTAAGAGACGATCGGCAATCAGTAGACTCTGAAAATTAATCTGCCAAGCAACAACAGAATATCAAAAACAGTGCATACAAGTATATAAACAATACTATGGGCATGTGGAGCTGTTTTAAAATCGCTGAAAAATCAGATTTCTGCTTATTTTTGTAAGCATGTTAATAACATGTATTTGCATAATTTTTTCTACGAATATAATATAAAGTACTTTGTGAATTCTTTTCCGTATATTTTTAAATCTGCAAATAGTTTTCAATTTGGGTTCCCCCGACATTGTCTTTAAATCGAATCTTTCATATCAATGCAAAGTAAAATATTTTAGGTAGCTAATGAAATGTTGACTTTGTTTGGGTATTTTAAATCTACAATTTATCTTGCTTTTATTGCACCAGAGCCCAGAACGATGCAGATAGTCGTCGGTGGAAAAGCGAGGTGAAGAAACTGCAGCACGCGCTGGACATTGCCAAGAAGAGCAATGGGGCAAAGAAGCCTATTGAATCGGGCCCAGACTCGGCCGGCACTCACGTGACCGCCGATGGCCTCATCAACTATGAAATCCAAAGACTGACTAACGAGATTGCCGTGCTGAAGGAAGCGAATCGCAGCAAGGAGGAGAAGACCCAGGTAAGTGGATGCTACATCGTCATCATCACCACCACCATCACCATCGCAGTCATTGCATGTTGCATGCGATAGTTAGTGCCGCCGCTTTGTTACCGCCAAATTGTAGTTGTGGGTCAAGTGCTCCCAGGCCAGCACAATGCATGCCAGCCCGATCCCCACTAGCCACAAAACGAATACGGCGTAAAAGTGTTCCAGCTTAAGGACCACCGGATCATCGCCGCTGCTGCCCCGCCGCCGATTGACCACCTTCATGCCCGATTTTATGAAGGCGGAGTTCATGATGCGGTCCCAATATCGCTCGAATCCAAACTCATGCGAACTCCGGATTAGCGAGTCCAGGAAGCCCAGGTAGGGCGATCCGTAGGGCACTATATAGACGGCGTGAAAGGGCACCAGACAGCTGTTCATCAGGTGGAAGAGCGGTCGACCTAGGTGCATGTGCATCCGGTTGTTCACCTGGAAGCGCCCGATGTGGTACTTTTCCAAATAGGCGTATCTGGGATACAAATTGGGTTATTCATTTTTCTAAATGTTAAATGGAATACTGACTTAAAAGTAAATTATGAATTTAGCTGGCTTATGAGTGCTATGTTAACCATACCTTATATCATTGTTCTTCATCATTTCGTACATCTGGGCATCCGGAACTTCCAGCATTAGTTCCCGGATCCTGGCCTCATGCTGATGTCCCAGGGTAAGGAAGTGCCGGATGTGTTTTATGTGCCTCGGCCGGATGAGGATGCGATAGTGAGAGCTGGCCAAAGCACCCAGCTGGTTAATGTCCGGCAGATATGGCTGCAGCACCATCATGCTGGTCAGATTTCCCCTGAAAGCCGAGCAGATGAGCAGTCCAAAATAGAGCCAGAAGATCAGGAATAAGCGAATTGAGTGGTTTCGCGGTATGTTAGTCATCGGCATGGTTAAAGCGCCGGCGAAGAGTATCATGGGTGCGCTACCCACTCCAGCCTGCAGGATGTAGCAGAAAACGTTCCCCACCAGAACAGAAGCGAGAATAAGGGCCCAAACCGATGTGCCGAATGATCTGAATATATTCCAGAAAGTAGGAGCCGTCTTGGCCTTCGGCACAATCACGCACAGGTCATCGCGCATATGGGAAACCGTACTCTCCGCCAGTTTTTGAAAGGTATCCGGAGCCAAGAAGCGTATGTTCATGGCCACATCCACGTACTCCTTGGCCACCTCCAGAAAACATATGTCCGAACTGAGATTGTGGTTGTTGTAGGAATGCGGACGGGTTATCATCATGGTGGCATTCAATCTCTCGGCCACATAGCCCGCCAGCAATCCATCTGTGCCAAGGATAATGCCCTGCCTCCAGAATATTGCCCTAACATCGTCCTTGTAGATGCACATCCTCAGGGGCTTCCTCTGCATGTTGGGTATTGTTTTGGGGAAGAGCTGCTCCAAAGTGGGCACTCCATCCGGCTCATGGTCCACCGGTATCAAATAGTTGTCCGTAAAGGGATTGTAACGATAGGCATACAGTCGATTATCCCGCCAGTAGAGGATCACGATGTTCAGCAGCCAGATCTTCCAGAACTGCCGGAAACTGGCCCGCATCCAGGCATCGGAAACGGTGGCGGAATCCCTTACCAACAAAAATACATGCGATCGGTGCTTGGCAGCGGATTTCTTTCGGATCAGCGACAGTTCCAACGGTTGCGATATGTTCGTGATGATCATCACCATGTACATGAGTATTCCGTCATCCTTGACAGCCTCCAGTGGCCCATTTTGATTTCTGGCAAGGTGAACATTTCAAAAGGCATTTAAAAATGTAAATTTCCTTTAGTCTGTTTAGATTAAAATGACTGTCTAGTTAATATTAGTTAGATAAATATTAAAACAAAAATTTTAAATACATGTAAAGCTATAAAACGTTTACAATAATCTTGTTTGCTTTGTATTGCTTTGTATTGGCAGGACACAGAAACATAATTTACATGAAATGAAACTTATTTCCCTGAAATTGCGTATCAAGATGGTCTTGATAAATGGGCGTATTATCTTCACAGGTTACGAATAAATAGCAGTGTATCAATATGAATTTTTCACTATTCATGGGTCAAAATTATAGGTGCATGTTGACCTAGGAATATCAAATTAATACTTTTTTGTGCAGATTAATTTAACTTAGGTCCATTATTATAAGAAAATAGGAGAATAGCTAACCTTAGCGATATGTAGGATATGTCGCACTTGGTCACCTCTCGCAGAATCTGGCCCGTGTGCTCGTGCGAGGTTTGGTTCTCGAAGTAAACGAATAACACCTTAATCTGAGCCCTACAAAGGATCTCGCTCATCTTGACCATCAGGTGGGAGCTCCTATTGAAGTTCAACGGAATGCGATTCTCACCTGCCCAGCCCAAGTGGGCCAGGATGGTCAGGAGCAGGAGCTGTCTTGGCCAGAGGATGGCCATTGCAATGCCAACTGTTTGTCGAGACCGATGGCACCTTTGTTTTTATACCCAGAGCCAATTTCGATATAGCAATTTCCTTAATGCTTGCCATATCGGCAAATATTAAGCAAATATTGTGCCATATCTTTTGCGCTTCTCATACCCTTTGAAAGACATTATAGTTTAAGTCACTGTATACCATGGTCCACGATTATTATTAGATTATGCTGAATTTCTATTTTAAAAACGATAAAATGTACATTTTATAGGAACTCTGTTTAATGCTCCAGAATATGCGATGTATTTAAAAAATGCTTGATAATTTATTAGCACCCAACTGAGTGAAAGTCTTTCGCTGTCTTCTGCATTTAATATTTTAACACGCCTTTTAAAGGGTATGTGCTTCTTCGACTGTGTCGAGAACTTTCATTTCTCGTTCTTTTTGTAGCATTTTTGTGTGTTTTTGTGTCTCGTTTGGTTAATGGATGTGCGACCTAATCGCAAAGTGCAAACTAACAGCATGGATTAACTTGCTTTTGGCCCATACCGCTGCTTGGAACCACTACCACCCAGTCCGAAAGTTGGCAGCACGCATTTGTATATGATTCGACAATTTCTTGCAGATTATGGGGGAGGCTGATAGACTCAAGGCTGCCGATATGCGGCAATTGAAGAACGCGTACGAAAACCGATTGACTCACATACAGAAATCAGCCAAAATTGAAATAACACGTTTGGTAAGTTGTGCGTAGCGGCTGCTAACGGGTCACCAAAAAATAAAAAAAAGTTGGCCAAGAAGGGGAAGGTAAAGGGGAAGGGGAGGGGGAAGAGGGCGAGCGGTACGGAACGGAATCCGGCGGTTCAGAAGCGGACGGGCAACTTTTCATACAACCATTGAAATTCATACATGCATTTTGAATTTGCACAGCAAGAAACAGGTCATTTTTTCTTAACTAGCTTGCATAATAAGGTATATGCTTTATAAGCATTTGATTTCCTTACCATTTAACACCCATTTAGATTTTTTAATAACACAGACAAATTGAAAAGGTCATATAATTACATTGCATAAAATCTCATAATCTTCTTTTTTTTTTATTTACTTCATAAAAGGCTTATAAAAAATAATGTGTCAATTATTTGCACTTAAAATAGTTACATTATGTTCAATAGATATGAGATTTTTTGTACATTTCCCTTAAATTGGTACGTATACTTACTAACTTTAAAGTTTAATTTTTAAACATTGCAGGAATCGTATACTGTATCTAAGTAACAATTTATTGTGTTAAAGAAGAGAATTTATGATTATAATGTTTAAGATATGAAAATACAGTCTATTCAAATAGGTCTCTACATCAATTAAATGTTAATAACCCATGATTTCCCTCTGTGAACGCCACTGATCTTTGCAACTTTGCTTACAGCTAGAGGAAATAAAGACCAAAGAACGTAATATAGGACAACTGAGGAAGGACTTGCTGGCACTGCAGAGTCCCAAGAAGCAGAGGCAAAATGAAGCCAAAGTGCCAGCGACGACGAAACCCAAAACGAACCCCAACGAAACGAGCCAAAAGCCTAAGAAACCCACTTCGAAGCCAGTGGGAGAAACAAAAGCTAAAACCGAACCAGATACAGATATAGTAGTCGAGCAAAATCCCATACGCCAGGCTCAAGTTACACCTGAGGTGAGTCTGTGCTTTTTTTTTTGTACCTTATTTCTTTGGCTTTTTTGTGTTAACTTTATTTTTGGAGTGGGGGGCAGCACTTGAACTTGCCTGAGAGTCGGGTTAAATGTTAAGAGCTCGGCCAGATACAGTATCTTTGGAGCCCAAAGTATCTACATATATATGTATCTGCAGCTGCCGCCACAGTATCTGTATCTGTATCTGCATCTGTACATCTACCTGCGGCGGTTATGCACTATTGGCATGATCTATGATATAATTTTGAGTTAGTTATGAGAATGGCAAAGACAACAATCGCCGCGTCGATAAGCGGTGGGCAAAACAAAAAAAAGAAGGAAAAGCGACAAAAAAAAGGAAAGAAAGAAAAAACCTGCTGCGGCAGTTGCAGCAGCGTTGCAGTTGCAGTAGTGCAAGTGTTGCAAGTGGATCGCTGGCCAGAGCGACAGAGAGAGAGAGGGAGAGAGAGAGAGAGAGTGGAGCGGTCCCAAGCCGGTTTTTCGCACCACTCACTCACTCACTACCTCACTCACTTTCTCTCCCGCCGCTCGAGAGTTTATACCGCTCGGATGAATGGTCGTCAGTTCGGTTTTTAAGTTCGCAGCGGTCGCAGGTGTCGCAGGTGTCTCAGTGCCCAATAAAATTCAACAAAAATCCACAAAAACACCGAGTGAAGTGCACATATCAAATGGGTATAAATCCGAGTTCAAGTAGTGCATAATGCAGGTGAAATTCGCGGCCCAGAATTGTCGGACTTTTCAAAAGAATCGCTAATGAAAAGTATAGTGTGACGCAGTCGCAGACGCAGTGCATTGTCTGATTTTCTATGCCAAAAATGAAGGAACCAAATGCCACACATTGATGGATACACACAGCAAAACACAACACAACACAACAATAAACAATCGTTACTTGTGTATAGGAAAACCCATTCAAAGTTTGTCTTTCACTTTGGCATTGTTTAACGCACACGAGCCCATAATTTCACCGACTTCGCACTATAGTTTAGTGAAATATGCCAAAAACGATCAAAATTAATTGCCTTTCACACCCCCCTTTCCCCCTCCTTCTGTCTGTCTGACTGTCTTGATTTGTGGCCATGTAGCTTCGTTACGTTCCAGTGATCGAATTCGATTTTACAGTTCATTAATCGCGCCTGCTCGTAATTGTTTTTATCGTTGCCAAAGTAGTCGAGAATTTGTTACGAAGATCCAAGATCCCGAGATCAGTGGGCCATGACAATTGGGGATGGGTATGGATCGGATTCAGATTCGCATTCGGATTCGCAATCGAGATCTGGATTCGCATCTGGCAGATCTCTTTAATCCACTATCGGATGTCGGCCAGTGCGCCAGTTTCTAGCAGTCCAGCAGTAATTTGCATAGCAAAGTGCAGCAGCAACATCATCATCACCATCAGCAATCGGGCAACATCGATGTCATCGAGCAACAAGAATTAAGCGCGGCATCAATATTAGTGCACGCAGAGAAAAATAAAACACCAATAGTGATCAGAATTTTGCTTAAATCAGCACATTCTGTAGAGTAACAACCTGGGAAAACCATAAAAATGTGTTGAAAAATAACTACCCCATAAAGAAATTTATTAATTTAACGCTCTAATTAGTCATATCATAAAGGCATCTTATTATAACACTTTCAAAAGGCAATAACATAAAAATTATAGACAAAATAATTTTGTAATAATACAAGCTGCTTTCAAAAAATGCCTTATTCTGCTAATTTAAATAAGTACTGAGAAATATACAGTAGTCTATCACCTAATTGGTGTATTGAAATTAAATTTTAAAGCTTGAGAAAATACAATAATCATAGCCCCATCATTTTTAGATTGATAAAATTACTACGTTGAAGTTTATAGGCAATTCCTTTTAGAATTTTCTTACCCACAAGTTTCGATTTAATTAGTAAAGAAATAAATATTTATGTATTACTGTTTGACTTGATTTACCCCCCGACTGTCAGATTTAATGAAAGAGTTATGCAGCAGAATGATGCTTTCACCCCATCAACTTAAAGTATTAGTTAAAGTATTTAAATAAATAAGATGTTATATTGTTACCTTTATGTATGTTAATCACTTTACATTATTGATTGATGTTTTCGCCTGTGCACTTCGCCTGCACACTCTGCCCCAAGAGCTAAGAGTTAAGAGTCTTTGGGGAAAAAGTGTGTGGTTGTGGGGAGTGTGTGTGCACACCACCAATTGGGGTCAGTGAAAAGCTTTTAAAATGTTAACGCTATTTTAAATACGATATGTGTTGCTATGACTCTGACTATGCCTCGGCCGCCTGCAAAAATGTAGTCATCCCATCGTATCGCCAAACGACAGTAAAATCGAAGTAGAAGCGATGGTAATGATGATTGTGGTGATGATGTTGCTAAAACAAGACGCCATCCATGGACTGCGACTGTCGACTGCGGACGCTTCCAATATGCAAAGTAATCACAACACAAAAAGTGTGCAGACAACAAAAAATAAACGACTTCAGAGAGAAAAAAGGGGTGTGTGAAATGGAAATGTGAACCATATGCAAATCGCGAATCGTTTGGGCGAATGTGTCTATAAATTTCGATGTTTTAGTGAAATTACCACGGTGAAAACTATTTGCCATCAAAGAGACGAAAACTTGAAAATTGCGGTTAATTGTTTTTGTCAAGCAAAACCCACACCTTCATATGCGGGAATAATGCCTGAAGACGCCTGACAATGGATTACTACTATAACCGGAGAGATGTCAAGGTAATTGACCACTGCCAGAGCCAAAGCCAGAGCAAATATACATATAGTATAAGCCATTAAGTGATTCCTATTTCTGGTAGCACTTGTTACTCATTCCACGGGCATTGCTCATACGACGCGTACTCCATAGACAATTAGTTTGCTGTGAGCCAGTGGTGGGAAATCTGATTTATGGGAATGGAATGGTGTTGCGTTTACCATATAGAAGTGCCAAATTGGCGCCTGATTTATGAATTATATTTAAACTCACAAGAACTCACAAAGCGAAGGCGTTTCATTAAAAAAAGGAAAGAAATCTAGTGAGAAATCTTAATTTAAGTCGGTATTTCCGCTTTTTGAAACAAAGTCTGAGAACTTAAGATCTTCTATTTGTTCACGTTTGTTTGTTTAACATTCTTAATTTAATTTTTAATTTATTAGCTTTAAATGCAATCTACTGCACAGTAAAATATTATTATAATACTTTGTTAATAGACTTCCCAACTTTGTAATTGATTATTATTGGTTAAGCAAATCACTTTAAAAACTAAATCACATTCAAGAGCACTAGGTTTAACATCAACATATATATTTCGAAAGCTGACCCCAATCGATAAACACAGTGAATAATTTAATTTACAAAATATAATGCGTAAAAAACTGATTTAAAATCGAAAACTGAAGCTTATCTGCCTCAATTTAATCCACTTTCAAAAACCATTAAAAGATCATCTTGGATGATTAACTATCAATTGGCGATATCAAAAGTTTGGCTGCCTGATATTTCCACTACTCAGCGTCCAAAAAAAGTTTGCAAATTTTTGAACAAAAAAGAGGCCATCATCAAAAACTTTTGAGGCCGCGACGGATGAATAATTACCTCTTTGTGGTATCTCAGATCGAAAGGGAAAGGCTTTGCATTCGACGTCGACTTTGGCATCGGCATCGCCATCGACATCGGAAATCACCACAGTTGGACAACCAAGTTAATCCCCGGGTTCGTTGGGCGATATCGATGCAAATTAACGGGCCGCAATGCATATATGTCAACAGGGCCCCACCAAGTCCATTCATTAGTTCAATTAGCTTATCCCATCGGACGGCAGTTGTGCTTGGCTGGCCCTCCTGATACCATGGTAGCATATACCATCTGCAATACAATATAATTCATTAGCGCATATAAACTTTCG